CCCACTGAAGGAACAATGGGCTGGGAGGTCAGAACTGACAATAAATGCTGACGCAATGGATAGAAATATAATACAATAAATACAATAAATATTGAATTAGCTAAATTATAAGACCCTGAGTCTTCCTACACTTTGGGTCCATGACTTACTATGTAAAGGCTAGCTGCTAAATTAAATCAAAGCTGAAGGAATAGACTGCTTCCTCCAGTCTGCACATAACACTGTAGGGGTCAAAGGTTAGGAAGCTGCTGGAAGCAATCCTACTTCATTAGGCCTCAACCTGGTCAAGATGGCTTTATCTGTAACACGTGCTTTTTATCAGCCTTATGTAAGTATGTCCCACCACGGTCCAATTAAAGTCACCATCCAGCCAGTGACCCAAAGCCCACTGAGGGCTGTCTGATAACGAACCACCTTCCAGCTCGCACAAAACACTGCAGGCTCCCCAACATACTTTGTGAGACACTTCTAAAAACATTTTGAAGTTGGATACTCATAGATTTAACTGACTTTCTTTAATTAACTTATTAATGGTCAGAAAATGTCCAATGAAGACCACAGCTCAATATAACGGGATGAAAGTAGATCTGTGATACGACATTTTAATCATGCTTTTAGGTTTCTTGTGTTACCTAAACTGAAGGCGCAGATGTTGATGCAGCAGCAGCAGATTCCAGTCAGGCAGCGAAGAATAAGGAAGAGGAGTGGTTGAGGAAAGACAGCAGGAACGAGGCCACACACGGCGTGCACGCACATGGAAATCAGCAGTACTGGACGCTTTCCGTACCTGCACAGAAACCATCAGCGAGATTTTTCTTGTTTGAAGATGAGTGATGACTAATGTTTATTTTAACTTAAACTTGACATATACACTACAAGTCAAAAGTTTGGACACACCTACTAATTTTTTATGTTTTTTCTTTATTTTCATGACTATTTACATTGTAGATTCTCACTGAAGGCGTCAAACTATGAATAAACACGTATGGAATTATGTAGTGAACAAAGACGTGTGAAATAACTCAAAACATGTTTTATAGTTTAGATTCTTCAAAATAGCCAACCTTTGCTTTGATTACCGCTTTGCACACTCTTGGCATTCTCTTGATGAACTTCATGAGTTAGTCACCTGAAATGGTTTTCCAACAGTCTTGAAGGAGTTCCCAGAGATGCTGAGCATTTGTTGGCCCTTTTGCCTTCATTCTGCGGTCCACCTCATCCCATACCATCTCTATTGGGTTTAGATCAAGTGACTGTGGAGGCCATGCCAACTGGTGTAGCACTCCATCACTCTCTTCTTGGTCAAATAGCCCTTACACAGGTGCTGTTAACTTGTGATTTCTGAGGCTGGTGACTTGGATGAATTTAACCTCAGCAGCTTTCTTGGGGCGGTCCTCATGTAAGCCAGTTTCATTGTAGCGCTTGATGGCTTTTGCAAAGCACATTTAAAGTTTTAGCAAATTTTTGGACCCACTGACCTTTAGTAAGTGATGATAGACTGTTGTTTCGCTTTACTTAGCTGATTGGTTCTTACCATAATATGAATGCTAACAGTTGTCAAATTAGGCTGCCAGTTGTGTACCAACCTGACTTCTACACAACACTGATGGTACCAACCTCATTAAGAAGGCAATAAATTCCACAAATGAACCCTGACAAGGCACACCTGTGAAGTGTGACTACATCATGAAGCTTATTGACAGAAAGCCAAGGGTTTGCAGCGCTGTCAATAAAGCAAAGGGTAGCTACTTTGAGGAATCTAAAATATAAGGTCCAAACTTTTGACCAGTAGTGTATTACAGACTGTCAAGTGTTGTGTTGTACCGGTCAGATATGGCTCCTCCAAACAGAGATCCCAGCAGCAGACCAGTCATGAAGAGCATCTGACCATAAGACAACCAGTCTGTCCAACCACACACTGACTGACACACACACACACACACACACACAGGCAAATATAGATGTTCAAGTCCAGAATACACTCAGAGAACCAAAATATAAGATGCAATGAAACAAGTTTCACAAAGATTAACTTTTCTGTTTACAATGAGAGACATGACGTGTATGTGTAGCTGTGGGGGTTTATTAACTTGGCCATAATCAGTTTGGATGTGTTTGGATGTGTTTTACTAGTTGAATAAGAACTGAATCAAAAATCCTTTTATCCTGTTGAGACTTTTCAAAATAAACTGAATCACGTGGAAGATGCAGAATATTTACTGATGAAAAGCAAAAAAGAGCCGTCAGGTGCTAAAAAATAAACCTTAGACTCAAACGTTAGAACAGGCTTTTCCCCGCAGCACGCTGTGTAATAATACTCACAAAGAAAACGGCAGCCGTTAAAACTTATGTCTAAAATGTATAGTTTCATGCATCGGTTAAAACACTGGACTCTAGGTACACGACGCCCAGCTGGAAACACTTCACGCAAGTCGAGCTGCCCGAGATTCACAGAATTTACAGAGAATGTTAAATTTTTGTGATTTATATCGTTATCAGGACGATAAATGCCTTATCAGGATATGAGATTTTGGTCATATCGCACAGCCCTATTCAGCCGGGTTAGTAATCCGTGGTATGTTGGTCTGCTTTGGATTTCCGAGTGGGAAATGCAAGTTAAAGGGGCATTTCATAAAAAAAATTCCAATTGCAAACTCAGAATTTGTGACTTCTAACATATTCAGGAATGCACCTACATGCTGTACATTCCAAGATCTTCCTCTTCACCTAGAAAACTGCAGTGTTTTTCAGACCATTCTCTGTAAAGCCTAGAAATGGTTGAGGGGGAAAATCCCAGAAGAGCACAACACAACAACCACATTCAAATTCACTTAAATCACCCTTTCTTTTCGATTGTGATGCATAGTTTGGTGCTGGCCCAGCAAGTTGTCTGGACCATGTCTACATGCGTAAATGCATTGAGTTGCTGCCACTGGTTGATCAGAAATTTGCTTTAATAAGCAGTTGAACAGGTGCATTTGGAAGACGGAACTAGCAAATTTTTGATTCTGTGCTTGAAAAATACTGAAACCTTTCTTGGATTTCCTAGATAGAGGTCCAGACATGACTACAAATGTCTATAACGAGTTAAAAAGATTACAACACGTGCTTATGCTAAGCATGGCTAAATTCAGTTACGATTAATGACAGACGATTTACAGAAAATTAGCTTTTTTTACTTTACCCTCAGAAATGGTTCATTAACAGCTTCAAGTTGATCATTAACACCATGTTAATCTCTAGAGTTGCTGTTATGTAATGCAGATTACTGTCCAGTTAGCATGTTGGCTGAGACTTTAAACCGATCATTTAATGTTGAAACAATGTTTGGTGAAAGAGGCCCCAAGCTGGCCTTTCAGTGGTGTCAAAAACTGAAAGTTATATAACTAGAAAATCTAAAGTTTATTAATTGCACGTTTTTCATTTCATTACAGTTCATTTCTAATGTGTCTGAAACTATATTTAGGCCTACACTTTAAACCATGAGATAACTATAACAGTAAAGGGAATAAGAAACACGCACTTAAAAATATCCCCAGGTGTTGCACCATCACAGTATTCATGACTGTGTTACAACTTCAGACCTCTCAATGAAAATAATCTTCACTCACGTCTCGGATCCCACTCTCTGTCCTCCAATCGGCGTCGTCCTTTAAAACCTTGCTGAGCGCTGATTGGTTTTCCTCCTTGTTCGGTGCCAACTTTTCAAGCCACGAAGCAAACGTGCCAGTATCATTGCCATGGCGACATGTCTCAGCGACCACAGCGGTGGTGAAAATGTCCAGAAAAAAGAGGAAAGCCGTGAAGAAGAAGATTAGAGCGAGGCGCCAGTAGACGGAGAGCTGCAGCGGGGACATGAGCGGGCCTGTCTGGTCTCCCACAAGCTGATTCATCCTGACCTTTACCATGCTGGAAACTTCAAAACTCACAACTTTGAACTCTTCAGGAGCTCCACATGTTGTTCCAGCAGACCTCTGAGCAGCGCGTGCCGGTCAGGTCTGAACAGCTGCTGCTGTCACAAGAAAGTGGTTGACCTGTCAAGCAGGAGGCGGCTTATATTCAGGGCCAACTTTATTACGCCTTCTTTTCTCCATAAGGCCCGACAGCGGGGACTATTTTCAGTACAGCGGTACAGCGACACCCGGAGGTCATGTGCGGTCCGGCACCAGGACCACCTGTACTGGAAAAGAGAAGGTACAGCCAGAGGCAATGAAAGAAAATAAATTAAGCTCTGCAGACAGTGGAGAAAATTACTGAAGAAGGAAATGAGGGGTTTTGTAAAAGTAAAGGAGGATATGGATGCTGGAGAAAAAAAGAACCAAGACAAGGGGTGATGTTTAAATAGAAAAAAGGATGATGAAAGATGGAGTTTAAATAAAAAGGGAAAGATGATGTAACACTTACTGTGGAGCATAAGACTGCTCCGTTCCAGTTTTAGTATTAACTCTTCAGTTAATGTCCAACACCCTGAGAGTCCACAGGTGAGGCATGTTGGATAGGCATCATAGATGTCATACCAGGCTGCTGATAGTTAATATTATCAGTATTTGACTAGCTGACCACAGGTCAAATGCAGCTTGCCAGCAATGGTGTTTAAGCATCTAGAGGCCCATTTAAAGAGCTAATGTGGCATCCTACACCCGAAACATGGCTGAGAAAATCTAATCGATATCAGCTCATGTTTTGAGAGGGATGCAGTTACCTAAAATAGCCTTTTACAACTCTAGTGCCTAAAAGCACCAAAGTTTAATTATACAAGCTTTAAGGGGTGTCCATGTAGAAACACGCAAGCAGCAATGCGTGGGGGGGGAAAATACATTTTTTCGTTTTTACTCTGTCATATATGATGATGTGAAAGCTCTACTCTCTTTTGTGTAGCTGCTGTAGAAGCTTTTTTATTCCCTGCATCGTCCACAGCTATGGAAAAGCGTGTGCTACACCTCCTGCGTTGTATTACAGATAACTTATCAACAAATACGCCCACTTAAAAACAAATGTTCTCACACTTTTGTCATATTTACATTTATTTTTCAATAAGCACTTGTGAAATGCACAAAAAGTACCTGACCTTTGATTATGTAAACAAACATCATGAAAGACAAATTAGTTAGTTTTTTTTTTTGTTCATTCTGATTATTTTAACAGCATTTACTAACTCTCCTAACCTTGATAAAAACATAAAAGAGCAGAAAGGAGAGGAGTGTGTCAGCGTCCTGTTAGAGCATCTTTACTTCATCCAAATATGGTTGGTTGACTGGAAGAATATATCTGTTTAGTGCTCCAGAACCTCGAAAATTTATCTCTGTCAATGAGTTTCTAAAGTGCAGTTGTGGAGAAGCACCACAAGGTGGAGCTTCCTTTGTTATCGTTGAGATTTGTACACAGACATTGCTAGTTGTTTGGTTGCCAGTGGTTACCAAAGCCCACACGGAACAGAAAGCTTCTTAACACTGTAAATAAACCCAAAGTGTTCTGAAGGGTCTGCTTGAGGTGAATTTTGAAACATGAAAGACTATTGTTTAATTTAACACAACAGCAGGGTTCGATTCAAATTTGAAAACTAAGGCCATAAATGTGACAGGTATCAATGGTTTTCATAAATCGAGTAAATATACAGTTTATATCTCAGAAATAGAATAAAAACAAAACAGGCACAACAGAGGTGATGAATTCAAAGTCAGCTTGAACACAAGGAATAAGGGGCTACACTCCTGGTCCCTCCGAGTCCCATCATGTCTTGCTGCCACTGGCTTGGTGAACATTTGTTACCACGGTGGCCACAGCTGAGAGAGGTGTGGAGTACACGGACGCCATGCTCTGCAGACCAGTTACCAGGCAGCGCCAGCTGAAGCGTAGTGCTTTCCCCACATTCTGCAACAGACCAGAGAAGAAGAACATTAGTGCTTTAATTTTGTTTTTTCTGTACCCACCACGGGTATTAAGGTCAATTACAACTAGATTAAAAACTATCTTGTAATATACAGGAACTGTCTCTAGCATTGGTCTTTGTCAGCTTGGGCAGTTTTTTTTTTTTTTTTTTTTAGCCACAGCTTGCCGTTGTTGAAGTTGTATAATGAGTAATACTAGTTTATGGTCATTTCCTGTTTTGTTGTACTCGTTATGCTAATGCAGATGCATATTGTTCATCAGCAACCATGTGCAAAGACCACTATGAGGGTAAAAGTTGCACCTTTTTTTTTTTCAAATGTGTTGCCTACTGAAGCAAAATTAGTAGTGCTGAACCAAATATGTAAACAAAGCAGCTATTTATTTCATATTTACCCAGCACAACAAAGGCTCATTTGTTGTGTTGGGTAAATACTAAAGGCGGTGGCTTTGTGACCTGTAGATTAGAATAGAGTTTATATATTTGGAATATGGATTTTACTGCAGGACTGACCAGCTACATGATGACATAACAGAAGTAGTGGCTGGAAATGTTTAGAAGGAGAGAAAGATACTGAGCGAGACAATTTGATGCAACATGTCGTTACATTTCAAGGAGGTGGATACCAGGTTAAGTTGCAAGGTTTATAGATTTAAGACAGGGGCAAAAATCCCCTTTATCTCTGCTATTGATAGAGAAGAACAGAACAGGCAAAAAAGGTTCGCGTCTGGTGAGAAAGGACAATGAACAAATGGGGTTAAGAAAGGGAAGGGTGTGGAGCATAAGAACAGAAAGCTACTCTGTTCCAGTTTTAGTATCAACTCTTCAGTTATTACCAAACAACCTCAGCTCCGTAAACCATCATCATACTGAGTTGTTGTCTATTATTGTTTGACTGACAAACCACAGACCTACAGATTTATAAAAGAAGAACTTCATTTCAGCTGATGAGATATTTTCAAGTTATTTCTCTGCTTAACACTGGTAGTTCTCTTCCCATAGATGTCCATTACTTTATATTACAATGAAAAATTTGTCCCTAGTTTGTGAAAATGTTAAGGTTCAGAGGGTAAAACATTTTCCACAATATTTGAGATATATACATTTATAAATTTATCGAAATTGAAATTTTGTGGTTTTGCTGGGACGTCAACTTTCTGCTTTACTGTCTGCAAAATATAACAAACTTTCAGTTCAGTTCAATTCAATTTTATTCACATAGCGCCAAATCACAACCATTCTTGCCTGAAGGCAATTCATATTGTAAGGTAAACCCTAAAATAATACAGAGAAAAGCCCAACAATCAGATGACCCCCTATGAGCAAGCATGTGGCAACAGTGGGAAGGAAAAACTTTTTAATAGTAAGAAGCTTTAATTACACTGCTCATTGCAGCTTAACTAAGGGCTCACCTGACACAGCCCTAACTATATGCTTTAGCAAAAAGTAACGTTTTAATCTAAATTATAAAAGTAGAGATAGTGTTTGTCTCCCAAATCCAAACTTAAAGATGGTTCCACAGAAGAGGGGCCGGAAAGCTGAAGGCTCTACTTTTAAATGCTCTACAAAGAACAATAAGCCTGCAGTCTGAGAGCAAAGTGCTCTATTTTGGTGATACCACGCTATGAGGTCATTAAGAGAAGATGGTGATTATTGAAGACCTTGTATGTGAGGAGCAGGATCTTGAACAGTAGTCTCAGTGCAGCATTTTGGATCTGTTGATAACTTCTCTGAGGTTTTGGGACATCCTGATAATAACGAATTACAGCTGTCTAGCCGAGAAGTAATAAATGCTTGAACTAGTTCTTTTATCACCAGGAGGCAACGTTTAACTTGTGAGATGTTTCCAGACATTAACAGTAACATTCTTTAATATTGGTGAAAAATGTCTTTTTAGCCTTACTCAAAGCCAGTGTAAAACACAGATAACCTCTGAGTTTGGTAATAAAGCGGAAGTGCCCTAAACCTGCATTCTGCATGGTAGCCACTAGGGGGTAACCACTGTAGTTGCAAAAAGATATAGAATAGAATGCCTTTATTGTCACTCTACAGATGTACAATGAGATACAGAGCATCTCCTACACAGTGCAAACATGTGGGAGAATAAAGGTGGTGAGATGCACAGTTTCTGCAGCTCTATATACATATGAACAGTATTTAGAAAAGAAAAAACATAAATAAAATGTATAAATATACAAATCTGGGAAAACAAAATAAAAAAGATAAATAAGTAAACAAATAGTGTTGTGTATTTACAGTGTAGGTTATTGCGTGTAAAATTAAGTATTGCACAGTGGTTATGGTAGTTGTGTAGTCTGTTTATAGAGGGAAGTCCTTGGGATGGGGGTGGTACTGTGTTGTCAGTGCGTGTGGGAGTTCAGGGTGATTATGGCTTTTGGGAAGAAACTATTTTTGAGTCTGTCTTTGAGTCTTTTGGTCCTTAAGAAATTCATATGCTCCTCGGCTCTGACCTCTATATCGTAAACACTTTCCTGCTGAGATAATGAACTAGGTCAATCCTTTCAGGTCCTATTTTGTCAATTTTGGTCATTCAAAGAATTTGAAAGGAGGATTTACCAGGATATGCTCACTGACTGTAATGTCATGAGTACAAAGTGGTAATAATGAAAGTACAGCCTGGCCCAACTTCAACTTCTTTAGATGGTTTTAGTAAATTTTGGAGAGTTTTAGACTCTTTTTAAATAAATAAAGAGGATGTGAAAATAATGAATCTAATGACTGCTTGTGGTCCTCTGCTTCAGTGTGGACTCAATAGTGTTATTTATCATTTCAACTCTTCATTCTGAGGCTGAATGAAGGTGTTTGTGATAGTAAAAGTTCTGTTTTACGACTTCCATGTTTGTCTGTTCTCAGAGGGATACAATCATCACAGCACATTATTTTGGGGGCCAAAGGCCAGAACTGTGTAGTGACGCTGAAAAGTCAATAATTAACTGCAGAGAGCTGAGACTAAACACCTTTGCACTGCAGGCAAACAACTCCATGTGTGGTTACTGCCTAAGCTACTTTGTATGATGTCATGTTTTATATAAACTCTTATATATCTTATAAATCTTAAATGTTAATCTTTAATTTTCTTTATTTTTATTTGTACCAGGCTTACTTTAATTCATTTATTCATTTTAAATTCAATTTATTTTGCGTATTCTTATGTACTTTATTTATATTGTACACAGTAGTGAGTAAATGTTTTGAGCCACCCTTCATTTTTTTTATATTTTACTAGGAAAATTGAAAATAGGTGCAGTAATTCATTGAAACATGTAAGTGCTCATGGAAACAGTATAAGAAGCAGAAATGGAGTTTGTACAATTCTAATGAGCTTCAAAGTCAATACTGGGGAGGCCAAACACTGTTAGTGTGTTTATCTCGGTCTCGGTCGTTGTGTCCTTGGGCAAGACACTTCACCCACCGCCTACTGGTGTTGGCCAGAAGGGCCGATGGCGCAATATGGCAGCCTCGCTTCTGTCAGTCTGCCCCAGGGCAGCTGTGGCTACAACTGTAGCTTGCCTCCACCAGTGTGTGAATGTGTGTGTGTGAATGGGTGGATGACTGGGTGTGTAAAGCGCTTTGGGATCCCTAGGCAGGACTAGTAAAAGCGCTATACAAATACAGGCCATTTACCATTTACCATTTATCTATCCAGGTATGCTGTTACTGCATTGCCAGTGTGTTTGGGATCATGGTCATGTTGAAAAAAAAAGCTATTGCCAATCACATGCTTTCCAGATGGTACTGCATGGTGGATCAAAGTCTGATACTAATACTAGCTCAAGAGTTCATAATTCCATCAATTTCGACAAAACCACTCTGCCACCACTGTCTGAAATTCATTCCCATGACAGCATAATATAGCAGTCATTTTTAAACTTGGCATTTAATATAATACAATTTTAATTCTCTTTTAATCTGGTATTGAATAATATTTTTGTTCATTTCCTTATTTATATATTTATTTAAAGATACATATTTGTTTTTTTTCCTTTTCTTTTTTGTTTTGTTTGATAGAAGTGATTTAATGAAATTTCAATTACAGTAATACATGTTTTTAAATTTAAATATAGGTTACAAAACTGGTAAAGGTTTCATATAACTCATTTAACTACCTATATCTGGTGAGCTGTTTTTTAGTTCTGTATTTTATTAAGTTAGATCGTTTATTTACATCATAATGCATCATGTTTTTATTTCTATGTAAACTATATGAACTATATGTATTTTCTGAATGTAATTGAACTTGATTGTACTTATTAGTCTTTAACAGTCTGTTCTAAGCCATGATTTCATCAACATGCCACTGCTGTGTAGAGGGATCTTTCATACACAGGTCAAAGGTCATGACTTCTTACCTTTCTGTACTTCTTGCATGTATTTTTCCTTTTCTTTTTCCTCGCCTCTTTCTTCCTCTTCTTCTCCTCTGCAGTCTCCTCTCTCTCTTCATCATCCTCAATCAGAGGTTCATATTTATCTGGCAGGACGCTGAAATAAACCTCCTTGCTGGTTTTCTGCAACTTTCTCCCCACTGAAGAAGCGTCTTCCTCCTCCCTCTCCTGTGCTCCCATCCCTTCCTCTCTGTCGTCTGACTTTCTTCTCCTGCTTTCGGGCAGGGAGACCTTTGGAGCAAGGAGGAGTCAAACTTTATTAGTGGCCCCAAGCTCAGCGCAGACAGGAAACTCTGAGCTTTGACATAAAATCAGGATTAGAAGAAGAATGTGGAGGTTCCTCAGTTTTGAGGCTGAAGTTATCTGAAGTTTTGTGCACAGCAGCGGTTCCTCCCTGTTTGCTTATCTGCTGTTTGTTTTAGGTCAACAAAAAAAAAAAACAGAACAAGAAAAACAGATGAAAGTGTAACATGGCTGAGAGGCAGATTTCTAAATGGGAAAATACTGGAAACACTCCTCTCCTTTGACTACGATGACCTGGATGACTGAGAACCTTCACAGACACACTGGAAACACTGACTTTTGTGAGTTTTATTTTAAGCAATTAAGTAAATAAATAAGAGGAAGGAAAAGGAAGAAAGCTCAAACAGCTGAGCGGACTTCAGTCGTTAGTTTGAAAAACACAAAACATTTCCACTTTATCTCAAAAGGAGATAAACTAAGTGCTCAAATTGAGTAGAAGAAAGTGCTTTATAGTAATCTCAGACAAAACAACTTTTATGGAATTGAAGTCTTAAAGGGAAAAAAAGGCAGATGTACTCAAACATTCATGAAGAACAAGCCCTCCTAGATACATGGACATCACTGTGCACTCTGAAAACCTTTAGCTTGGATCTAAAGAGCTTGGAAAGGAAAGCGTCTGGACTTCTTTACGTTTCTTGAAGACGTTTCACCTCTCATCCAAGAAGCTTCTTCAGTTCTAAGTGCAATTGGTGGAGAGTCCCAGATTTTAAGCCCTATGGGAGTGTCCACAAGAGGGTCATGGACCCCCTATAGATCCTCTACCTAAACACATGAGCCAAGGTGTGAAAGCAGGTTCTGGTCACAATCAGCCAAGGTTTCAGGTGAACCCATAGTGAAACCTAGTCCAACACTATCATTTATGTATTGAGATCTGGGACTCTCCACCGGTTGAGCTTAGAACTGAAGAAGCTTCTCGGATGAGAGGTGAAACATCTTCAAGAAAACTTAAAGAAGTCCAGACGCTTTTCTTTCCAAGCGCCTTAGACTACGATGACTGAGTCCCTATACAAACTTTAGCTTGGATATTTCCTGCTTTAGTCTCGATGATAGACTGACCTGATGGCATATAACATGATGTATATTGTCAAATATCGCAGCCATCGCACAATGTCAGTAACATTGTGCGATGGCTGCACAACTGCACAACTGAAATACTCGGGTAATATTCATGTTAACTTTTACTGTCTTAATTTTACTTCGGGCTGTAAAGCTTCAGTTATTATAAGTTAACCAATTCAAAATTTTGAGTTAGTTTCTAATCCATGCCAGCAATAAGCTATAGTCCAAATGATGGCACAGAATTTGTTTTGTATTGTTTGTTATGGTACCATTGGTACACGCTATATGGATTCTTTTCTGTTCTTTTTGAGTTACCTGGCTGCCGCTCCAGTCCTTCCTTTTTTTTTGAGTAAAAGAGGAGGCTGAGGGTGGAGCTAGTTTAAATGCAGAGGCCAATTGAATGGACTTAACCATCTGTTGTGACCACGCAGGGGGGGAATAGGGTCATTCTTGTATTATGGTTAGCTATTATCTCTGTAGTTTTCACCTTTGGTGTATACAATAGTTCATTCAATTGCTATATAACTGGAGCTGTCTCTCAGTTAGGCAGGTCAGTTTGCAGAGTTATGGTTTGTAAAGTGGTTTTTAAGTAGAAGTTCTTAAGTTGTCCTCTTCTATGGGTCCACTTGGTTCCTAAAATAGCTCATTTTTGTCATTCTGAATTTTTGTAATGATTTTGTCCTTTCTGCAGAATAATAAAATCCTTTTTTTTATGATTACACCTGTATATTCTTTTCTGCTTGGTCTGCTTACACTGTATGTTGTGTTTCATGACTGACCTATTTCTTGCATAGTGTATACTGAATGTGACATATTGTGGTTAATTAGGTGAGTAAGTCTGATAAAGGTGAGAACGTGAGTGTGAATGGTTCTTTCTCTCTCTCTCTCTGTTAGCCCTGCATCAGCGACCTGTCCAGGCCTCTTGCTCTGTGGTAGCTAGACTTAGGTCCTCAGTGACCCTGATAAGGATAAGCGGAAGAGAATGAATGAATGGAAGTTTGATATTTTTCTAATCAACTGCATATAATTATTGTTTGTTACATCTTGGATTAAACATCATGCATATCTTTCCTTCTATATGTTTCCAGGTTTGTAGAGATATCATCCTTTATTTACTTGTTCTTGTAAGTTTTCTTTTTGTCTTTCTAGGCACTAATTTTCACATTTATAACAACACAGTGTGTATTACTCAGATTTATTGACCTGTGTAAGACATGGTTCTGATTGGATATTACTGTCACTGGTTGTTGTCATGTGACCTGTCACACAATGCTTTGGCATGACATGCCATTTCACACAACTTTGTGGTAACAGCTTGTAAATATTTTGGTCTTATATATTATTATATATTAAACCTGCTACATAAAGAATGGGTTGTCCCACTATGGTGTGGAAGACCAGTCTACATGGAATTTATTGCTGGTCACAGGTCAAGTACGATTTTTTGGTTTTATTCTTTTGACCTGACTTGTTGCTCTTGACATGTCTTGATTTATATCTTCACCTGGGACTTGTAGGTTTCAACAAGGAACTTTTTAGCCTTGACTCAGTATTTGATTTTGGGCTGACTTGCATATAACTCTGACTAACCCTAACCTAACCTAACTGTTGGTTTTGATGCTACGTTTGCATTCATACATGCACCTTTGTCTAGTCTTGTGTAGAAAAATCTCAGGTCTGCAGTGAATGTGTGAAAACAGCTTTTGGGATAACCTCTGACACAATAGTGAGGGTAAAACCTCACCAATGTGTCTGACACCTTGTTACTCAGGCTTATTATCATCCACTTATTTTTAGCATGTTCCTCTGATGTTGAAAAAGAGGACATTGATGTGAAGAGCTGTACTCACACAGAAAGCCTGCGGCCCCATGTGTTTACTTTTCTGCTTTGTCTCTTTGTTGTTCCCTGGTGTGGTAATAAGTGGAGCTCTACTGAGCATCAGAGGCCCAGAGGCAGAAGACTGACAGGATTAAGGAAGAAAAACAATATCCCAACATGCCTGAGCTTAAGTCTGGAGGTGCTCTCAAGTAAGACTCTTGGCTTTTCTTAGTTTGTGGGTTTATTAACTGACAGTAATTTAAAACACACACACAAACACATTTACATTTAAAATACCATATTGTACAGTCAAAGGACATAACAGAAAAAAGAAAAGCTACAGTTTGCAGAACGGATTGTAAAGCTTTCAATTCGATTTCAATTCAATTCAATTTAATTTATACACCTCAAGGCGACTGTTGTTGTGTCCACCAGAACACCCAAGGTGAAAGGTTGTCCTGGTGGAGTTTTCCTTTTCAGCTCATTTAGTGATTTAGAGATGGTTTTTATCAAATTAGGAGCATGCCTTGTGATTTTGTGAACAAGTAAGCCAGACACAGTTTAGCTGTTTTGGTTCAAGCCTTGTGTTGGTAAGTAGTGTGTAGCTCCAGAGGGCGATGGTCCAACAGTTCATGAAGCAGCCTGAGATCTTGACGACCTTTGACCCTGCATAAATAAAAAGAGGAAGTTAGAAAAGAAGGTGATACTTGTTATCACCAAAATGAGTGTGTTAACACAATGCAACAGTCTTCCAAGGAGTTGATGTCCCAGCAAATTCACTGCAAGGTGAGACCATGTAATGCTCAGACAAAGTGCAAAACACCCAAGAGCTACATTTCAGATTCTACAGGCCTCGGTTAGCATGTTAAATGTTTAAGTTCATGATAGTTTAATTAGAAAAAGGCTGAACAAGTTTGGCTTGTTTGGAAGGGTTGCCAGGAGAAGGTGTCTTTTCTCTAAAAAGAACATGGTAGCAGAGCTTAGGTTATCAAAGTTGCAACTAAATAAACCACAAGACTCCTGGAGAAATGTCTTTTGGACATGCAAGAGCAAAGTGGAGACATTTGACAATAGTGATTTGACATGATGAACTGGACTTGTTTTGCATCCACAGAACCAGGTCATTCACAGCTGATGCTTGGCTGAAATTGGGTCATGCAGCAGGGCAGTGATCCCAAGCACAGCTTCAAATCTACAACAGAATGGCTGAAAAAGAAAAGATTCAAGATGTCGCAATGGTCTGAGTCGAAGTCTAGATCTGAATCTGATTTAAATGTTGTGGTGGGACCTTAAGAGAGCCGTGCGTAAACAAATGCCCACAAGCTTCGATAACTGCATGAAGCACCATTGTAAAAAGCTGCAGTCATGATTGTGTTTCTTGATAATGATGTAAGAAATTGTTAAAGTTATACAGAAAATGATTACTGCGAATTGCTGCAGCTAAAGATGGCTCTTAGAGGTACTGAATCTTCAGGTGTAGATAGTTTTTCATAGGACTGCATAGATTCCACTAGAGCACTCATTAGATTGGCATTATGATAAGAAAAAGACCCCCAGTCAGATCGTAACTCCATATCACATGACCAATTGCCCCACGCCAGTCTCACCACTTTTTAAATTAGAATTATATTTGTAGTTGTAGGAAATCCCCTTTACAAACATATATTTTTATATTCAATAACCAGCTGATATTTATAAATCATCATGGTAAATAATCAAGCTACAATGAGGCAGACCTAGTAGAAGGCTGTATGGGGCATATTAATTATCTATCATGACTCTGACTAGTGGCCTGCCAACTTCAAATATCTGTAGCTGTAAAGTGTGCAGTCTTTCATCTCCAAAAACATCCTGTAGAAACTTCACACAGCTCAGGTGCTGCCTGTAGACTTAGATTCTGAACAAGATGTCACTGTGTGTGTTCAAAAGATCAGCCTCCTGAGTAACATGGAACAAAGTAAAGACACATTTACAGATTCATGAAACAGACTAAAACCACAGTGTACCTACAGGAAGCTGAAATGAATCAAACTGATGGAAATCTAAAACACGAAGCCGATGATAAAACTCTAAATGACACCAATGGAAACTTGCTGAGCTCTGACCACACTCACATAGTGGCTATTTGAAATGTCATGTCACAGTGTGTTCACAAACGTGACGGCTCTTGACAGGAAGTGGCTGTCCGGTGTGTGTTTTTGTGTGTGTTTTGTGCTGCAGTGTGTGTGTGGAGTGATAACAGGAATTTGGTTTCTGTGGTTTTTATTCGCACAGCCTTTAGTTTCATATCTGTTCACTGACCTGAAACTCTGAGGCGACTGACTCTACAGGAACTGCACCTGACATTTTACTGACTGATCACTAAGATTACAGAAAGGGCCTGGTTAAAGATTTAAGTAAACTTTGAAAGCCCAAATCTTTACAAAAGGACTCTTTTCCATACTTGATTATAAAAAAACCCCACACACAAACAGAGAGAACTTTAGAGCAATTAAAAGACAGCATAGCTAACTCCAATAAAGTCCAGCTTAAAAGTCTAAATTAGTCCTAATTCTAGTCCCATGAAAACATCACAAATCCCTAATCAGGCTAAATACCAGTAAGTCCTGAGTCAATTCCCAAAGACACAAAAGATAAATTGGTATAAAATAAGTACTTGAATGAGGGTAGACGTCCTGCTACATTACTGTTTGATTTAGAGAAGTAAGGTTTAAAAGCTGAATTGTTAATTCTGAAAAACGGGTCAAACAAACTGCAGTCATCAATGTTAAAGCCCAATGTTTTAATCAACCCATTCATCCACCCTCATATCTTATTATGCCAACAACTGAACTGGTTCTTCTGTTTGAACTGATTTGTGTAATTCTGGAATATAAAGAATCACATTATCAGCATATAGCAATAGCTTAAGATGATCAGACTTGTTAATGTACTTATCTAACCAATAATATGTCTTGCTTTGCAGTTTATTTTACTAAGAGACCATCCAGAAGTGTCCCAGTTGTGATGAGTAAAGTAACATTCAAATAGATTTTAACACTTAGCGGATATCTGCGTATGTGTCTTGCTAGCATAAGCTAATAACGTATGACTTCACTTTCCTTAATGGGATCAAAGGGTTCACAATATGTTAAAGTTGGAATTTAAAAATTGGACTTTACAAACCAGTGGCAGACAGTCATTGGTTTGTCCATAAAGTTTAGGGGAATGAAAAGACTTCTGGGTCACAGCAGTCCATTTCAGTAACTCAGATATACTAAAAGGGCCACTACAGCTATGATAACCCTTCTGATTTAAATCATTAAAAAAAAAAGACTTTTTGTTCCTTACATTTGTGTTGGGCAAAGAGACTGTCAGGCTAGTTGATGTCTTGGTGCTCAGACTCAGCTTCTTCTTCCAGAGATAATAAAACTCAACACACTCAGAGAGGGACTTTGTTTGAACCTGAGGATACAAACATCATGGAGATACATCATTACTTGTTACAGACAAACAGCAATTGTAATTTACAA